AGAGGACAGGCAGGGGAACCAATAAGGGAGGAGAAAGGGGAAGACTGAAAAGGGTGGGTACCCGCAGAAGGAACGGAGAGGAAGAAGGGGAGGACGAGAAGGAGAGAACCCTTGGAGAAAGAAGCAGCAGCATCTGCAGGTGGCTGTGGGCAGGCAGCTATTTGCATGGTCCTCGGCTTTCCTCATGCTCACAGTGAAATCCTCCATCACCCCGATCCTGCTCCCAAGCCACCTGTTCCACTCACTTATTCCTCTCTGGCCACAAAAGCTCCTTGCTGCTCCTGCGATAGTCTGGGCAGGTCCAACCACAGTGCCTCTGCCGCGCTGCACCCCCTGCCTGGAATGCTCTTCCCCAGAGCTCCCCTGCAGCTTCCCCAAGAGCTCCCTGCAGGACTTCCTTCAGGTCTCTTCTCAGATGTCACCCCGAGAGAGGCCTTCCATGGCCACCTGCATCACCTAGCACACTGCCCATTTGTTAGTCCCTTTCCTGATTCAGGTTCACAGTAACAGAAGAATTGACACCCACAAAAGCAGGCTCACTGTTGTGTCCCGAGGCCCTAGAATCTGTTAGGGTGAGTAATCAAATCACTCCTCCTGCCTCCAGAAGTGCACCGCCTCACACATCTGCATTCTGCACCATTACTGGCCCTTCTAAATAAAGTGCAATTCCCTTCCCACCCCCCTTTTGCCTGGTGGGCTCCCACAATCTTTAAAGCATGCATAGCTCAATACCCTCTCCTCCCTGAGGTCTACCTCAACTCCCCTGGCAGACCCATGTCTCCAGTGGACACACCTGGGCCACCTGAGCACTATTACAGCACAGCCCCCTTGCTGATAGCTCAGCCCACCTGCCTTTCTCCCAAGTGATCGTCTTTCCAGAGCCCAGAACACAGGGCCAGGCCTGAGTCCCTGCATTGCCTCAGACCTGCTGTGTGACTGGGCAAATCACTTAACCTCTCTGTGCCTCCACTTGCTCATCCATGTAAAAAGGAACATAATATGTGCCAAGATGATCTGCTGATGAGTTGGCTTGGGTGTAAAACCCACTCTGCTGTCATTTGGGAGTAGAGGGTGTGTGACTGGAGGTGCAGTAGCATAGAAGGGCCGCCTGTGTGGTGACCTTGGAGCAGAGGCCTGGGTGAAGTGAGAGAGGCAGGCACCTGTCTGGGAAAGAGCTCTGCAGCCTTTAGGCAACAGAGCCTCTCTCCGAAAGCCTCTGGGTGGGGCCGATGCAGGCTGCTCTCTGAGCTCCGACATCACTCAGTAAGTACCCAGGCAAGCACAGGCTGTGGCGTTTGTCCTGGGGGTCAGCAAAGGAGGATGCGCGGGAAGTGGACCGGGGAGACCCACACATCTTGTTCTAGCACCGTAGAACCTGCTGCATCCTCTGAGGACAGAGCATGGCTCCTGCTCACGTGGCTTCCCCTGCCCAGGGGAGCACTGCCTCCTACATGGCTGCTGGTGGGGCAGAGCGAACGGAGCTGAACAGTCCTGGCCTGATTGTGGACATTGTGTGACTGAGGTTTTATTGTCTGGAAAAGGCAGCTGTGGGCCTTCAGAACATGGCGTAGGCTGTAGTGAGAGGGGCAGAGGCAGAAACCAGGGCTTGCTTCTAACACCTGCAGGTGACGATGAACAGGGGCCTTCGCCTCTACGGTCTCAAGGTTCTCATTTATTTCAAGGACTGCTCCACGTTGCTTGTTTTCAGGCATTCCTTATCATAGTTCTTTAAGTAAAATATTACTGAGAATTCAAATACAGTCACTATTTAAATCTGTAACATATGACCCTAAGAGACATGTCACCAAGAATGTGCAAAGCAAGAGAGGCTGTTCTGAGGAGGCCAATGGCAGTGCGTCTTTTACTGGGGAACAGTAGCCAACTCCTCTTCCTTTCGAGCTCCAAAAGTAGAGGTAGCCTGAGCAGGTGGGAAACACAGTCTCAACCCGGCTTCCTAACTTGCCCTTCCTATCCTTGAACCACCAAACTTCCCTTTTTCTCCTTATGAAGGGAATTACAGGATAGCAGACAAGCCTTGACTGGGTGCAGGAATGAGGCTGACATTCATCCCCGCAACGCACACACGCACACACCCCACACCCTTATTTGGGTAAAGCAGGAGAGGCTCCATCCCCAGACAGCTGCGTGAAGCCCTTCCCCATTACGCGGTACATCATGGAATATGTCAGCCTGAATTAGCAGGCAGGCCCATCACATTAAGCTAAGCGCTGGGCTGCCAGGCCCCACTTTGTAATGCCTCTTGATCCTCAGTGTCATGCTCTGGTCCATGTCACTGCAGCCACGGGAAACCTCGTGAAGAAACAATGCGTGCCTGCAGGGGCCAGGGGAAAATTGGGGGGCCACAGGAAGCCATGTAGATTTCATTTTTTTCTGTTTCCCTAAGGAGCCTGCTCTGAGTGCTGATGTCCGTGGGGATCTGGAGGAAGTGGGTGGCACCACAAAGCTGCAGGCAGGGAGTTCCTTTGTGAAAACCGTGGGAGCGTGGCACATGTTTCTAAAAGCACACAGACTGGGGACCCTGTTCAAATACTATGAGAACTACAACATCTAACTGAGGCTTCTTAAACACAAGGCCACTGTGACCGCCACCATCATTCCATTTATTTTATAAATTTTCCTGGCTACTTATTCATGTCATTTCCTAACCTGTTTGCTACTGTGGTGTGGAGCAGCAGAAACAACGCTAGCTTTGTATTTGGGCGGGTCCTGAGATCAAATCCTGCCTGTGCTTTTCATAGCTGGGTAACATGGGTCCATGACTTACTGTCTCCACGCCTGAGTTTTTCTATGGAATAGGACTTGGTGCAGGGGCCTGTTTCAGAGCAGATTAAAGAATTATCTGAGATTATGAGAGAAGAACGCCTGACACAGCATAAATGCCCAGTAAACATTTCAGGGCTGCATTTGAAGGGCAAGATCACTTCTATATCCATTATACAGCCTTCACCCAGCCATCCCTTAATTAGTGTTCCACAGTGTACACCTTTCCTCTAACTTGCTCTCTAGTCTCTGTCTGATCCAAACCTGCATTTGATCATGTCACAGCCACTGCAAATCCTTTAATTTCCTCCCATGGGGAAGGGGACATCGCCACCACTCTTTGCTGCAGCTTGCCTCCTGGCCACCTGAGCCCTCAGCCACCATAACAGTTTCCATTACCATCTCTGTCTCCACTACACTAACCTCTGGCTCCTTCACCTCTGTCTTGCTCACCCCCACCACGAGGCCTTTGCACATGCCATTTCCCATGTGCCACTTCCCTACGTGGGACATTCTTTTCTCATCTGGCCTGATTAAGACCCTGCTCAGCCCTACCCATTCATATGTTCTCAGGAAAGCCCCTCTCTGCTCTCCTGCCCCATTTAAATCTTCCTGGAAACTGTTCTCTCTTTTGGTCATTCACCCCTATTTTACTAGGAGGTGATTTACTTCGTGTCTGTCTCCACTGATTAGACCAGCCTTGAGGGCTGGCCCTGCATCACCTGCTCACCAGCTGCATCTAGGGACTTTGTGTGGTGCTCAGCAAATGCTGTGAGAGGAGGGTAGATGGTGAACAAGAAAGCAAACCAACTCGACTAATCCCCCCAACCACCCTTCACAGTCACAGCCACAGTGACAGCAAGTAGGGACCATGTCTCAAGCAGTGAGACCAGAGCTCAGCAGGAGCGGGTTGATTGCTGATAGCTGGTGACCAGTCTGTGCTCAGAGCCAAGGTTTCCAGGCCCTGGCACCCCAGAGGTGTGCTCCAAAAGCATTACCCATGGCAGGCGCTGTGACACTTACCTTCCCTCCCTTCCCTCTCCAGGTTTTTGGTGGACCCCTGACTTTTTCTGTCTACACACAAGGCATCTCTGGTTTCCAGGAGACCCAGTATCACATCTGTCTAGAATTGTGTTGCCCCTGAATCATTTAATTTAGAAACTCAAATACGAGCTGAACTCCCTCAAGAATGAGTAGGGGGAACTCTGTTTTCAGCAAGGTTGTGTTGTTGAGGCAACTGCACTTCACAAAACTCAATCTTTGTTTTCAGCTGCTTTCCCTCAGCACCTGAGCTGAAGCCAATCCAAAAGCTGAAGTCTTAATCTACCACCTGGTGTCCAATCAGCCAGGGCTCAGTTGCAAGTCATGATTGGCTTGGAGAAAAAACAGCTTTTGGTTATTTTCTTGTTTCTATTCAAAGACCGCACCTGTGTCGTATGGTTTTGTTTGTTTGTTTTCCTCCCTCACTTTCTTTGGAGCCAATTTACCCAGAACTCACAGAGAGGGAGAAGATTCTGTGCCTTTGTTCATATTTTCCAGAGAGAGCATCATGTGTGGGAAGCTAGCTGCCTGCTTCTCTGATCTGCCAGAAGAAAACACTAGGATTTACTCTTACCCAGTCATTCAATAAACATATATCTCAGGTGACTATATTGTCCAAATTGGGACAGTTGTCAATGGAAAGTGAACACTTTCCAGTTGGAAGTTCAAGACAGCATCTGTAAACTGATTTTCTCAGCCCAACCAGAATGTAACGAGCACCTTATCTATTATGGCTGACCTGAGCCATAAACTACTCTTAGAACAAAGCCACAGAAAGAATAGTCTTATAAAGCCATGAGATGAAAAGACAAGAGGGATAAATTGGGATTAAAGTTGAGTGAGATGTCTCTATTTTTTCCAAAATTTCTTTCTAGATTTTATGCTTTGTTTTGTTTTGTTTTAAAAAAATGACACCATAGTCCTGGAAGGTGGTGTTCACACAATGAAATCCAAATTCCCCCGAAGTGAGTCTTAGGAAAAAGTCTTGAATCTATCAAGAATGAAATTTCCAATCAGATCCAGGTGATGATGACACTTTTAGGAAAAGTGGAAACCCAAAGGAGCTCCAGGGAATGGGAACTGAGTGATTTTGAATGTGGTAATAGTGGATATAAACACACTGTGTCTCCCTAGGCAAGAGCTTTGGTACTAAGTGTTTTGTTTCTCCTGCATCCCAGGTACCTGTCCTGAGACCCATGGACCTGATGGTGGAGGCCACCCCACGAAGAGTATTTGCCAACGCACACACGTATCACATCAACTCCATATCAGTCAACAGCGACTATGAAACCTACATGTCTGCTGATGACCTGAGGATTAACCTATGGAACTTTGAAATAACCAATCAAAGTTTTAGTATCCTTTCCCTGCAGCCAATAATCAGTGGGCATAAATCAAGAGTATTCAGGTATGAGCAGGCCGTGCAGGAAAAAATGAAATGTAAAAGATATTCACAACGACAACACTTAGTACTTGTAGAGAAATTGTCCTTTTAAAAATGCCTTAGCATCTATGAGACGTCCTCATCCTAATAAAGTTAGGAAACCATTGAATTTCAAACAGCAGCTGAAGTCTAGTTCAGGATTGGGGTTCTGGAACAGTATTCACACAATGGCATTTATGTATCATGAATTGAATTTTCATGTGACTTTACCAACAATAAGAATTCAGTTAGGTTTCCTGCCACTGTTAAAGGATTCATAAGTGATCTGTGTGTACAATGTGGACCAGAGGTACATGAGATGGTATTTGTTGTGTTATAATAGTGAAAATAATAGGGACTGCCAAGTATTACATTCCAGACATTTGCACTAGCAACTTTGAGCATAGCTCAAAGTGTCATTTTTACCCCCCTATGATACAATATATGCACAGGAAAGTGTATGTATCATAATTATACAGCTTGATTAAGTTTCACAGCCAAAACATCTCTGCAACCAGCATCCACATCCAAAAAAGAAACTTTAGTCCTTAAACTTTCATTATGTCTCCTCCTTTTGTTATTTCTATCCCTCAAAAGTATGTTTGATATAACAAAGTGTAATATAAGTATTATCTCCCATTTAACTGAAATTTAGAGAAGTTAAGGAAATTCCTATCCGTGGTGGTGTTCTTATTCCATTGTGTTGACCCTGCATCTCTGAGCACCTATCATGTGCTCTGCCCATCAGAAGCTTAATTCCTCCCATTGCTTCACACCCCACCTCACAGCTTCCCCACTCAAGCAGCTGAGCCACTGGCCTACAAGCCCTCTGTCACTCACCGGCTTCCTCCACTCCCAGCCCAGTCTACCTAGGAGCTCTGTCAGTGCTTGCTCTAGAATACAACTCAGACCAATTCAGAGCTCCCTGTCCCCACTCCTACCAACCTGTGCTTCTGTAAACCTCAGCTACCTCTCATCTATGACCCATAGATAAGGCAGAGTAAGCTTTTCGATCTGTAATCATATATCATTCTTCCCTGCTGAAAACATTCAGGTAGCCTCCTGCTGAACTGCAAATCCAAGTTATTTGTTCTAGCCTATGTGATTCATGCCATCTGGGTCCTGACTCCCTCTTTGGTTCTGTATCATATCACTCTTCTCTAACTCACTCGGCTTTAGTCAACTACCATAATCACTTTTCTGTTTCTACTTAAACTTTGTTTTTCCATCCTTTGTATCTGCTGCTCCCTCTTCCTGGGATGCTCTGCCCCCAGAGTTCACAAGGTTGGCTATGTATCATTGTTCACACCTGTATCTAATTTCATCTCTATGGGCACTTTCTACCACTGAATCCCCACTATTCTTTTATCACCATAGAATTTATCACTATTTGAAATCATTTTAGTGTATTTTTAAATTCTTTATCTGGGAATGTGAATATATGAAAGCAGAGACTATTATGTACTACTCTATTTTATCATGTGGAAAATTCGACATATAGACAGTTGGTTGCATATGTTGGGGGTTTGGTTTGGTTTGGTTTTGATTCTTGGGATTTTGTTTTTAGTTTGTTGTTTTTGTCTCTTTGAGACAGGATTTCACTATGCATTTCAGGCTGGCCTTGAACTCATTTCATAGCCCAGGCTGACCTCAATGTAGCAATCCTCCCTCTCATCCTCCTGAGGGGTGGAATAATAGATGTGCACCACCACACCCAGCTATATGTTGGGTTTGAAGGAGAAATACTTCAAATATCATCAGAATGAAGACACCCCAGAGAAAATTAATTATGAAATCCAACCTGGAAATGGAACCCCATGAGTTACAGTAAACCTCTGAATATTTTGATATACAATAGATTTCATAGTCGATCAAACTCTTAAAAGATTATTTCTCCTATAAAGTCCAATATTGATGATCTCCATCAATAGGATCAATAACTCAGTCTAGGCATCTTCTGTCTTGTAGCCCCAGTGTCACCAAGCTTGTCTAAAGCAGGACAGCAAAAAGGACAAGTGATAGAGGATCACACATGAAAGAATTCTGGGAACTAGGTCCTAAGATAGCTTGCGTTCCATTGGCTAGAACTCAGCTATATGGCCACCTCTAACTGCAAGATGAGCTGAGAAATATGTTCTCTGTGCCCAAGAAGAAAAGTCTTGATTTTAGTGCCAGCCATCTAGTCTCTGTTATAAACAATGTACAGTCATCCTCAAGGCCTTGGAGGGAAGGAATTTTTAATCAGGTACTAGCCATTCTGGGATCTATTTGGAGACACTGAGCACTGACCATGAGGACATGAGTGGCATCTTTTGTTGATCACAGAACAGACATGGCACACTGTTTGGGCCCGGGGAAACCAGCCCTAAGATTTTGCCAGGCAATGCAGCTGCTAATAGAATGTGTGTGGGTGGTGGTTTCCTTTCTGTCTTTACATCTATTCCAAGAGCCAGATTTCTGCTCCAGCTCAGCTGGCTGTCACTTCGAGCTTCTGCTTTCCCAGCCTAGGTGGCATGTTTTCTGAATTTTGCCTCCAGGCCTTCTAGGGGAAGGGAAGTTTCTTTCGACATTTTTGGAGACAGATGCCTTGGGGAGAATACAAAGGGGTTATATTAATAGTGCAGTTTAAGCTATATTCTGCAGATGTGTGACAGCCTGCCAGATACTGGCATACAAATGAGACCACGCCATTCACCCTGAAAGCAGCCATATGTAGAATAATCATTGTCATCATGAGGATGATGATAACTGATATCTATATAGTTCTTCTCAACCAGACCGCCCTAAGCATTAAGACTGTACAAACTGAGACCCTTTTGCTTCTCATCCCTGAAGTGTAGCCACCCTGGGGTAGAAGGCGACCATCTTTCAAACGGCCTCAGAAAAATATCAACCACAAGGCATGTCTTAAATTATAAGTTGTTAAGCACCTATTTCTACTATGCCCCTTATCCACCAAGGACACAGAAGAAACATAATTTGGGACCAAATAATGAGTTAGGCTAGGGATAAAGCTCAGTGACACAAGCACCTGCATGGCAAGCACAAGGTTATGAGTTTAATCTCTGCTACCAGAAAAATAACAATGTGGATCAACTAAAGCATGGTGTGGGTACCACTGTGGTAGGAGGCAAGAAGCTTCAATGCAACACATGAGCATTTTTGTTTTCATAATTACAATTTTCTAGTAGTGAGTGTTAGAAAACACAACTGTCATATCAAAGCTATGAGTCTGCAGATACCATAACTCTAAAATCAATTTAATTTCAAAGTAAGTAAATGAAAAGTATTATGTCAATAGCAAGACAGGTAACTTGGAGATATACTTAGAAAAAAGTCATGACTTCCAGGCATGGCATTTGGTGTCATATTGGAATCATGGATAAGAACTCAGGCTTTAAAATCCAGGGAGCATAGGGTTCTTTCCCAAGTTTATCACTTTCTGACTGTTTCTTAATGTATCCAAATCCCTATTTACCTATTTCTGTATCCTGTCAAAAGTGGTTATGATAATTACACACACACACACACACACACACACACACACACACACACACACACATACAAATGTGTGCATGTTCAAACAGTACTTTATTAAATAAATGATCAATAACATGACTACTGGCCACTACAATCATGACTATTACAGAAAGACAAGAAAGCTAGAAAAGTTAAACATTAAAAAGGAGAAGTCCATCTTGTTGAATTCATCATCTGACTCATCTTCCCAGCTTTAAACTCTCCTTTTGGCTCTACACTTGGGTAATCTTTACAAGATTTTCTTCTTATGCCCCAGTTACATGATATTTGCAGAATTTCTGAGGTCCAGCATCTCATTTTTAGAACTAGATCAGAGCAAGGCATTCCTAAACCTTATGGTTTCTGGTCATGAATCTCTCTTTTCACCCATGGCCTGTCTTGTATAACAGGTCCTGGCTGAAAATGAATGAATTTGGTCTTAATGAATCAGATCTACAATAACTCACTTCTGGATTAGTAAATTTCTTGGGCAAGAGGAAGCCCTCCTTTTCAATAAATGGAAATTGCTCTTAAAATATTTCTTCACAAAAACTATTGGATACTGAGGATCTCTTTTTCTTGGGACTAAGAATGAATTGACCTGGGTTCTCATCTAATACAGCACAGGCCTTTATTAAATAGATCCATATCAAGTAAAAGTACAGGCACAGTGCTCAACAACTGTACATCAAATGTCTGTTTTGTACCAGGCAGTACAGTAAGTCTGAGTATAGAAAAATTAAAAGAAACAAATGTCCTGCTTTCAGAATATTCTTCAATCATACTAATGAGCATGCCATTGTAAACCAAAATAAATTCTGCAAAGCAAGGGACTATAATTCTATGATGCATTTTTAGACTAGAGGATAAAAGAGACTTTGCTGAGGAGCTGGCTGTCAAATTATGAAAGAGAAGAGATATGTGTTCACTTGGCAAAGAGATATGGAGAGATTTGTCCAGTGTGTCCAAAGGTCCTGTGCCAAGAAGGAGCATGACAGAGGAACTTTCTGAAGGCCACTATCACTGGGTGCAGAGAAAGAGGATAAGCAATATGTAACCAAAGGTGGGAAGGTTGACAAAAGCCATGCTTTGTAGAAGTTCGGTCTCTGGTCCTGAATCAGAGTTCTTCTGAAAGAGCCAACTATGATCTGGAAGTTCACCTTTCACGTTGGGCTTAGTAACCTTGTGTAGCAGTTTCAGTTGTCTCCTGAGCTGAAGCCCTCTTGAAGCTGATTTCCTTACCAAGGGATCACATATTCAACTCTTGGTTTCCAGCCACCAGTGCTCTCAGTACCATGGACAGCTCCTCGTCTGTTACTCCAATGGGACTCTGCCAGGCAGGTTTTGGTGGAAGCTGTATAAATTTCTTTCCTTGTTTCTTCAGTGGCTTTCATCCTGCCAAAGGATCAAATGT